TAAGGAAAACATTAGAAACAAAAAGGTATGTAAACTAATACGAGCACTTACGAGTAGGGTTCCAAGCTTCAGGGAAGCCTGCCGCAGTGGACACTACGTCTTCGGTCCTGACAAAGAAATAGTTAAGCCAAAAATGCTGACTAGCCTTGTCATCCATCATCACCATCAAAACGTTTCCCCCGTGGTGGTGAAGATTTTGCAAAGTCCCTAGATAGAAATGAGGGGCGAAGAGATGGATAAGGTGGCGCATTGTTATGTCGACATAGGCCAATTCGGCGAACTTCGTCAATATCATGACCACCTTAAAAATATAAGGGGCGAGCTACGCTGGGCATACGTTGTAGTAGTGGCATAGCTCTCCTATCAACGGCGGCAAAGGTAACAAATATCCAATTAAGAACGAATATGCGTAAAGGGCGCAGAAGCCGGGACGGTGAAGCCGAACCTTGTCGTCGCCCGCAGGGATCAAGTTCACGTGACCAGGTAGGTCGAGTCTAGCCTTGAGTTCGGTTAATCGCTGAACCATCATCGTGGATTTAAACCTCTCTGTCACCACTTCCGATTCCTTTTGAAAGTCGGGTGTAGCATCGGGACACCGAGGTACAATTTCCTCTATAGTAGGTAGGTTTTTCTCCTCAGCAACAGTTCCGCCATCTTCCCCCTGGTCGGGAAAAACGACGTCCAGAGGAATAAAGTGGTCTTTCATATGGACATCTGATGATATGTCAGACATTGTTGTTAAAAAAAATAGGGAAGCAAAGAAAACAACATAGAAGTTCAAGGGTTCTGCGAAAAAGGTGAAGAATAAGCTTTGGTTATGAAGTAAAAGGAGTTTGGAAAAGTTTCAAAATCAGCAAACCACCCCTATTTATAAGACTTTAGGGCACCAGAATCGAAACGGCAAGCCATGATTAGAACGAAGAACGAAACGGCATAACTAATCAAGGGTCATACGTGAATCGATGCAACACATCAAAAAACGGCGCCATTATGACGCATAACATCATGATGTCACTCTTTCTCTTGGACCAGATGACTTCAACGGACTTCCCGTAAAAATTTGAATTCGAAATGTGCGGCCCTCAGAAAGCCACGTTGCCAGATCGTCACGATCACAACCTGTATAGCCAGCTCGGCAAAACTCGACCACGACTTGCATAGCCAGCTCGGTAAATCTTGACCACAAACGACATTATCCACTCGTCAACCTTGCTCGCGAGGAAAACCTCAATGAGCGGAGGGACTAACTGTATGGGCCAAAAAATATCTTTGATATGGGCAAGCCATGTCAGTATCATTATAGCCTTCATCGACCGCCACGTGCTATCAGTGAGGTCCCCATAAAGAACGGCCTCGGGGTGAAGTATCCTTAAAGCAATGAAAGATGCGGTCGAAGAGTCACCATAGTTCAAGGTCGAGGTCGAGGTCGAGCATCTTAGATAGAATTATAACGACTAGTACTAAGATATGACATAAAAAAGAATATTCTAGTGGATATTCTCTGCATATATACTATTAGGGTTTCTAGGAACATGTTCCCTATAAGTAGAAAGCGACACAAGAATAGGAGACATAAGATATTCATTTGTAAAATACACTTTGACTTTATAGAGCGGATCTGATTTTATCACAAGGATACAAAAAGAACCTTTTTCACCAAGATTCTTGTCTAGCATTTTCACTGGATCTAAGAGCAACCTAAGTACTCAAAGACTCATCAATCATTCATCATTATCAGAAAGAATATCCACTGATCTCATACCTTTTCGGGTGACTCACACGTTTTATTTACTTAAATGCCACTTATTGCTATTTATTACTATTTAAGGCCATATTCCATCTTTTTGGATCATTGAACACTGCTGTTATTGTTTATATTTATTGCCATCCGAACAAACATACAAGTTATTTATCACATCAACGACAATTTTGTCTTTAGGATATTATTATTAACTAAGATTAACTCTTCTTTGCATAAATCTAATTGGTTGGACCTAGATCTCTATTTTTTTGGTCAAACATTAGGTCAATTTATTTTTCTTACCCTTCTCAGTTTACTCTCTCTTATTTTCTCCTTCCCTCTCTCCAAATTTAGTGTTTACCCAGCCTGTCAACCATACTTTTTCACCCCTACTTTGCTCTTATCTTTTCCTAATAAACCATTAAACAGGTGTTTGCTCATCGGCCTAACAAATACTATTTATTTTTAAGCTGGAATAGGAAACTATATTATGAAAAAGAAGGCTTGCTACATTCCAATTTAAGTTTGCGAGGGTAAGTATTGGTAATTCTACTTTTATTGATCCTTACTTTAGCTATAAGCAAGTTTATAGAGTAATATTTGAAAATGAGATGATATAAATGTGTTGTAGGCAAGCTTGTTGAGATATACGAGTAGTTTGGAAATTAAGGGTTTGTTTGGAAAGTCACCCGATAATTGAAATTGGTGTAATTATTAGAGTAGTAATTACACAACATAGTAATTACACAATATAGTAATTACGATGACCTGATTGTTTGTCATAACGTAATTACAATGTAATTACAAGCATACTGTTTGGTTGCACAAGTGTAATTACACAGATAGATTAAATTTTAAATGATGTAATTATAAAAACTTAAAAGTTAATATAATAAATATATGCCTATAAATAATTTTTTATAAGTATAAATAATAAATGATATTAGATTTGGTATTTAAGATGCATATTTTTCTTGAATATTCATTAATTAGTAATCATATATTTATAACTAATATTGTAAAAGTAATTCATATATATATATATATATATATATATATTTTAAATTAATAATATTTATTTAATTAATTATAAAAACTAAAAATATACGTTTTGTAAGAACATCATCGAATGCATGTTTGATAAATAAATTAATATTTATAAATATAATGTCATAACATTATTCAAATATTTGACAAAACTAATCTATCAGTTCTAACTAAAAAATGAACAATATGCAATGTGAAATAACAAATATAACACTATTTCAACATCCAAAAAAAAGTAATAATTTAACATATGTCAAATTCTAACATAATAAAAATAATTTCCAATACAACTTAAGATTAGGAAACATAATAAGTTTATAACCTCATTTAATAACGAAATTCTACTTTAAGGACATCACTCATTATATGTCAAGTTTGTTAATGACTCATTATTTCTAATACTAAGAGGTGTAGTTTCAAAAACTAGAATAATAACGTAGTTATGCAAAATGAAGAAAATAAAACAAATAGAAATTACATGGAATCACAAGAAGTAAAGGTAGAGAAATAAAAGATAAATAATGTACAAAGAAAAATATATTTTAAAATTAAAAAAGAAATAGAAAAGTAAAAATAAAAAATTTAAAATAATGGAAATAAAAATTTATAATGATAATAAATTAAAATTAAAATAAAAAGGGAAAGAAATTAAAAAGTAACCTTGTAATTACATAGTGTAATTATCACCAATTCTTACCTGCCCCTTGAGAATTAGAGAGTGTAATTACATCTCTCCAATTATACCCAATTACATGTTAACCAGGTAATTACTTGGCCAGACAAACATGTCAAACGGTGTAATTACACCCAATTATACCAAAATCCAATTTCTAGGTGATTTTCCAAACATGCTCTAAATAAAAATATTGAGGACTTGAACATAAGAAATAGGGTGTTAGAGAAAATAAGAGAGTTTTCTAGGGAACATGTACTCCTGCTCATTGCGTCTTAGTGGGTGTTTGGACATAAGAATTATGAAAATCCAGAAAAACGTATTAAAAAAAATTAAGTGAAACTTGGACATGAATACAATTTACAGATGTTTTTGAATTTTTGTGAAAATTTAAAAAATAACTTTTTAGAGTTTTTCATATTTCCAAAAAATTTCGAAATTCAATTTCAAGTGAAATTTGAAAGTTTCATGGCCAACACTGATTCCAAAAAAATGTAAACAAATTTCGGAAAGAATTGGAAAAAAAAAAAAAATTATGGCCAAACGGGCCCTTAATTTCCCAACCGAAGTGAATGTTGATCTGATATTATAGATGGACTGGAATAGCTTAGCAAAACAAGGAGGACAGATTTGTTCATTTGCAGATAGACGACGGACTAAAATTGCAATTTCCCTTGTCAATCATATTCATCACATTAATTTCAAAATAAATAGTATCAAATTATGTCAGCACCATAACTAGCAAGATTAACAAAATAAGGAACAAAATTTAGGACTAATAAGGAAAGTGTGTCGTCTGAATTGAGAAAGAGTAAAACATGATATAATAATCTGATCTCCCGAATAAAAAGAAACAAAAAAATAAAAATAAAAAAAATCTATGAATCAAAATCTGTTCATCTGATCTAGAGAAATGGTTGACGTGCCCAAAACCTCGACGTCACAAAATACCATAGGAGAAACCAGTTCGGAAGGAGAAGTGGGGGATAGCAAGCCGACAGGCAGTGAGGCAGTCAAGTTGCAGAACGAAATCCTTTCATCTCGAAGTGGCAGCTTCAACTTTGCTACTCCTCATCCACAAATCAGTCAACTCATGACTTGAAACGTCCATTGGGGACGAACAAGGAAATGGTAATTCTTTCACAGGTTCAGATTAATTCGTCCCCAGCTCGACTGTTTTCCAAAATACGCCTTATCGCCCACAGGTACAGAGTAATTCTGCCCACCTATATAAAAATATCTTAACATTTTTTCGTCGAAATTGAACCTTGATAACCCTGCCCACCTATATAAAAATATCTTAACATTTTTTCGTCGAAATTGAACCTTGATAACCCGTATTTTGTATCCCGTTTCATTGACCACTAATCCACAATTTGGGTGCAGTAAATGATAATTTTGTTTTCTAGTATCCTTTTTTTCTCTGTTTCTTTTTGGTTGGTTCGCGCCATGGGGTGGGGGGGACGTCAATAGGGGTTCAGAGGTTTTTATGGAGGAATTTTAAGTCGGGGGAGGGGATGAAGATTGAAAACAGTAGAGTGAGGAGAAAATAAAAGAGGAGTTGCTTGCATCCCTTTTTTTTCATTTTTGTTGATCTCCCAAAAAAATAGAGAGAAGTGAAGTTTACATTTCTGTAGCGGCAGAATAGAAGAAAATGATCTGCCTTCTCTGAATCTATACATAATAACTCAGACCCAACTTTCGTCAAGTAATAGCTATATTATTGACCCAAACCATCTACGGAGCCCCCTACTAGGAAGGAAGAAACGTAAGACTAAAAATTACATATTCCTCTAGAATCACTAAAATTAGCAAGCTGTGAGAGGGTGTAATGGTTAGATCTCCTTGTGGAGGAAAAAAATTTGTGGTAAGTGTAAACCTAATTCATGAACTTTCGGCAGTTTGGAGCTTTACACAGGCAAGGAACTTTGAATTCTTCACATTCGTCTGGATCAAACAAGTAGTCATACCTGTCATTATTGCAGCCAAATAAAATAAATCAGGGGCAGACTTGCTAATATTCAGGCATTAATGTGTGCGTGTATGAGAGAGAGAGAGAGAGAGATACGTTAATTCATCACCAGCAGACACATTTGTCTTTGCGATAAGTACAACCCGACTCTCATCAGCCCCTACACTCATGATCCTTGCATAACAGTTTGGCATGCACTGTGAAAATAACAAAGCAAAAGATCGAAAAGAGTCAAGTACGAGGAACCATCGATAAAGGTAACCTGAGAATGAAAATATTGCATCTATTGACTTACTAAATTTGCTGACTACAGATAAATTATAAGTAGAAGGGATATGACTTGAATGGGGCACAAAATTCCTAGCATTACCAGGTCTAAGGAGACTTTGCCATGATAGGTTGTACAAAAATATTTGGAGTATATTGAAACATATTTATCAATCAAAATGTACACTGAAGCATATTTTATCTGGTTCTAGATAAGGCTCCAGTCAGATAAATTTTCTCTGATATTAGATTAGGTTCAGACTACAGACAAGTTTAGACATCCTAATATAATCTTGTGCGGTATGATTGGTACTCAATTCTTTTGCCCTGTTAAAATCATCAATGACATTAATCTCATTAAAGCAGTAACACCATAATGCAATCACTGTTCCCATTTGTTATTAGCCAAGCAAAACTATTTACAACTAAAAATCACTAGGTGATGGGGAGAGTATAATGCAGCCGCTGTTCCCATTTATTATTAGCCGAGCAAAACTATTATCAACCCAAAATCACTAGGTGATGGGGAGAGCTACCCAGTACATGTGATGGAACTGCGATTACTCTTCATTATCATTTGCACTCATTTGGTGATTCCTCGGTGAAGCATGAGCTTCACATGCATATATACTTGCAATGTGTAAATAGGTGGCTTGGCCTGGATTTAATAACCGTTTGTACCAGCTGTATGGGCTGACATTTTATAACCAGAATTCCTTTTTCTTTTATTTTTTTCCCTTCAGATTAGTGAAATTTGAAATTCCACATTTCTCTTTATTCAGCATCATCCTTTAGTCAGCTCCAAAACCAACGTAATGGGATTGAAACTGATCTCCTTCAGTTTTACCTGATTTAGTACACACTAGTCTTTGCCTTTTCATTTGCTGGTTTTGATAACAAGGACCAGCACAAAGTTAATACTACATGAAAAAGAATAGATAAAAAGGAAACTATGATCACTTTCTCAAGAAAAAAGAAAAGGATTGACAAGATCTAAAGAGCACGGTAGAAGGAAGAAGCACCATCAAACATAATAATTCTAGTTTGATTCCAAAGATGGAGAGAAGCATCAGAAACAATGAAAGAAAAGTGATACTTACTGAATGGTTAATTAAACGTGCAATGTTCCCCTTATCAGTGGCGTCCACCACAACTTCTTCACTAATCTTAAATAACTGCATATGATAATTCAATGACATTAATTGGTGCTTGTGACCACGTACGGGTTGGAGAGAGGGAGAGAGGGAGAGAGAGAGAGAGAAAGCACAAAGAAAAGAGTGAAAAGAACCTACATAGCAATCTTTTCCCTCAACACGATACCGTGCCTCCCTTAAATCTGCAACACTTCGTCTGATCTGCTCACCACGATACTCAAGAACCTGAAACAAGTAAATGCATGCTCTACTAAGTAACTTCTAGATTTGATGCTGAAATAATTAGAAATACGAGCACTTCGGTTAGTAAGTGATTATTGAGATGAAAGATGATCATGTAGCATACTCAAGCAAGGAGGAACTAGTTCTCATTGGAAATGTTCACAGGTTATGACACAAAAATCATTGACTATCGAGAAAAGCTCCTAAACATGAAATTTAGGACTCCACTTCCAAGCGATTACTCGGACTGCCGTTTCTTTCTTTTCATAATATGATCAACGCATTGACTATGGGCAACCCGGTAAGAACTAAAAAAGATTAATGTACCATCTCTCCTTCTGGTATATTTCTACGAGCAAACAGACCCCATCTATGTATCCCAGATCTACCAAAGCAAACACGATCATTTTCTGTTCTCTGCAATTGCAAAATAAGATGAAGATGCTGAGAATATGAGCTGAAATGCTGTTAACGTGATGAGCAGCAGTGTTAAAAAGAATGCCTGTAAATCACGAAGCCGCTCCCTAAAGGTAGAAAATGTTTTGGATCCCTTGACTTCCTGTTAAAAGGAAGAACGGAATAATATTTAAAAAAACACCATAGAAGCTAAGAGAGAAACTAGTGACAGGAGAACATTACTTTACGTAGGAAGGAGGGAAGGATATGGGAGGGAGGAAGAAATTTACTTTAATAATGTTCAAACTTCGTATTGAACTTGAAGAATGGTGACAAGGTCCCCTCACGTGGTGGGCAATGGCAGATTCTCCTGCTCCCTGACAAGCAAAAAATAAGGAGATTCATAACTGGCAACCCTTTAGGATGATTAAACAACAGACACCAGCTAGTTAAAAATTTGTGATAAGAAAGCAAATGAGTGAATGTCAACTAAAAAACTTAAACCACAAACATAACATACCAATCAATACCAGGTAGCATAACTAGAAAATTTAAGGTAGTTAAAAAGCATGACTAAAAGCAATTATGGTTATTGGACTTATAAATAGAACAAACCACGGATAGATATTAAGTATCGACTAATAAGCAAAGTGTAGATAGATATCAGAACAAAGTTTAGTTCTTATATCTCTAATGTCTTCTCGTGCACAGAGATGCTAATAATGAATTCACACATCAAGAGTTTCATGGTTCAAAAAACCAAAAGGGAGCAACGCTTTTCAGTTGCCCAGTGTCATAAAGACGCTATTTAGGGAAAATGCGGACAAGTTTAGGGGGCCGCTTATGACTTTGGCCTTAAATAAAACATAAATTCTTTCATTTCCTTCCTGTGTATATTAATAAAACTTAGCATAATCAATCATAACATTGTGTATTAGTAACATGGTGTAATACCTTATCACGCAATCGATTATAAACACGACACCTTGCTGCAGAGAATGGCTTGATCTCCTCTATCTCTGCTGCTGGAGCTTCCTGGAGTTGCAGTCTACTTGTTGAAATTAGACGTGAACCT